GTGAAGCCAATCTATTATTTTTAAAAAACTCTCCCAGTCCTGGCTGCTTGAGCCAGGCTGAGATAAGCTGCTCCAGTGATAAGCACAAGGAAAGAACTATTAGTGAAGTCACGTCAGGGCTGGGAGAAATTCAACGCCTAAACCTGTTCATGGTCCTGTGGTTGGAAGCATCACCTCAGAGACCACGAGCAGAGAGTCCTCCCTGGAGCTGGGACAAGCAGCTTCTGGATCCCTGAAACCAAATCCCCTGGTGTGACTCTGATCCCTGCTTGGACAACGCCCTCAGGCACAAGGGGGGATTCTTGGGGTGTCTGTGCAGAGACTGGAGATGGATTTGATGATCCTTGTGGGTCGCTTCCAAATCAGGAGTCGGTGATTCTACAGCTGCTGACAACTCCTTCTCCAAGGAAGGGAACAAACAACCCAAAAAAGTCTCTTTGTGATTGCTGCTTAAAGTAAGATGTCTGTTTTGACAGAGATGGGAACCAGGGAGCTCTGGGAACCATCTCTTTTGGGAAGCCCAGTGGAACATCTCTTCAGAGCACAGACTGGAGGCAGGAGCTGCAGACTGGAACGCGGCAGCGACGTGGCCCTTGGGAGGCTGCTCTGCTCCCATTCCTGCTGGGCAGGTCCAGCTGGGCCTCAGCACTGGATTTCTCTCCTCCAGGTAGTCATCCAACACTTCCTTCATTTGCCAAAATAACCATCAATTAAGAATCCATTGACAACTGTATCAAAAAGCAGTGGAGGAGGCCAAGAGGCCAAGACAGCTGAGCAAGCAGGAAATTACTGATGACCTCAAATAGAGAATCTCAGCAGAAGGAAGCTCAGACACTGGACCAGCACAAGATGCCATTAATATGCATCTAGACTGGAATTAAAAAAGCCTTTACCCACAGGGGTCTCTGGAGAGAACAGGTTGGAACGACCATGCTACAGATGACATTCTCCTGAGGTGACAAAACCGTAACATCTCTGCTCTGCTAATGCTGGGATTGGCAGGATCTATAAATACCAGCACCTCGGACTCAGGGCTAGTTTTAAATCAATGCAGATGGGCAAGGCAGGAACTCGGAGCCAAATCCCATAAGCTGTTCCATACCAGCACAGCCGCTCATGGATACAAATTCCCCACTCTCCAAAAACAGCTGATTTTCTGTTTTGCCTGGAATTATGTGTTTTTCAGCACAAAGACCAAACCAGGCTGAGCCAGAAGACTCAGTCCATCAGAAAGTTCTTAAAACCAGAGCAGAGCCAGTCACCTTTATCAGGAATAAACAAAGATAATGTGGAACAGCAGGTCACTGGAGACTGTGCTGATAATCGGAGTCGTTCAGCTTGACTCATCTGTAGAGCAGCTGACTCCACACCAAGCTGCTGTGGCTCATTTAAAACCAGAGCACTAATTGCCTGCAAGTTGGACACACTTCAGACCTTCAAAAGGCCGGGCTGGACGGGGCTTGGAGCAACCTGGTCTAGTGGAAAGTGTCCCTGCCCATGGCAGGGGGAACAGGATGGGCTTGAAGGTCCCTCCCAACCCAAACCAGTCTGGGATTCTGATTCCCAGACCCTCCCCTTTACCAACACATCTCATGTCTCAAGACCACCAGCAGTGAGAAAGTAAAACCACTGTGGAGTACACCTGGAGAATTCAGCCTGGAGAAGAGGGAACTGAGGGGAGTCATTGGGGGCTGCAGCTCCAGTCTCTCTCCCTGAGAGAGGGAACAGGACCCAGGGAATGGCTGGAGTGTGTCAGGGGCATTTAGGTGAAGATCAGGGAAAGGTTCTTCCCTTAGAAGGTGTCAATCACTGCCCAGGCTCCCCAGGGAATGCAAACAGGCCCAAAGCTCCCAGAGCTCCAGGAGGGTTTGGACAACGCTCCCAGGGTGGGATTGTTGGGGTGTCCGTGCAGGGCCAGGAGCTGGACTGATGGTCCTGTGTGTCCCTTCCAGCTCAGGATCCTCTGTGACTCTGTGATTACCTAGACAGGCAGCCACATGCTGCAGGCAAAAAAGTGCTCCAACATGACAATAAACAGGAAAAACAAAGGGAACACAAATGCACATAAACTTGCATTCTGTGTGGTTTTGCTCCATGGGTACAATTCTTATTAGCGTGTCTTAAATTACTCGTCTGCCCTGTGATACCTGATATTTAAAGTAAAAGATTAGGTTTATTTAAAAAAACAAACAAAAAAAAAAAAGGAACAAAGGAATTCAGTGAGCTTTCAGATCTTGCCTAAAAACTCGAGTGAAGTGGGAGTAAACATTCCCTAGATAAAAACCATCCAGTGGCCACTGGGCTGCTCCATCTTCATCACTCCCAAAAGCCCAGGAGCAGTAACAGCATACTCAGTGGTCACAGTATTGACATATTTTCTGAAAAACACCACTCAGAACCTGAACAGCCACACTGAGGATGGAAAACAAAGCTGAAACAACAGAACAAGAAATACTCTGTCTGAATATTGGGCACACAAACAAATCAGACTTCTCTGGGTTGTAAACCCTCACAAATTCAATTACCTGCCTGACCACAGTAGCTGCACCACCCAGCTGAGATTGTAAACGATTTTGGGTTTCTGGCTGTAAAAAGCAGAAATGGGTTGAAAAAAGCCCTTTACCTCCAACTGCTGGCATCTCAAATTTAATTTTGGTTCATTATGTGCCTGAGATAATTATAAAGAAGGTTGGAGTGCTTTGTGTCCTTCATAACCCTGGCTCTGTTCTGAACATTACATTCAGACATCCAGCCAGCCCTGAAGTCAAGGAGCTTAGGTTAATAAACAATCATATGCAGCCAAAAGTCCAAATTCCAAACACAGCAAACCCTAAGCAATGAGGGAGAAAAGGCCTTTCTTCAATATCCTTAACACTCTGAGGATTCACAGACAGAAACTCAGGTCATCCCACCTGGCATCAACCTGTCTCACTGTAATGATTCATTTATAAGCCTGTTCCTTGCTGCAAACCATGAGAAACAGTCAAATAATACTAGATGAATGGCCAAACTAAAAGTATGGGTTAGTGCTGATTAGTTTAAGACATGGGAAAAAAAATCTTAAATTTAATTATTATCTGAGTTTATACAGGAATAAGAAATTTCCCATTAACTCCAAAACTCACTTCAAAATGGTTTTTCTCTTGTTTCTGAAATGTTAAAGAAAAGTACATGTTCACACACATATTTAAAGAAAGGTTTTAAGGTTTTAAGGCTTTTATATCTGTGCCACAGAGAATGAAAAGAAAAAAAACAGTATGTTAATCAAAGTGATATGCAAAACCACTCTGTCTGACACCAGACTGCACAGTGGCATTGCTAACACTCCTCCTGGATATTGGGTGCAGTACCACGCTAAACCTGAGACAGCCCACAGTTAGACTTCAGATTCTCTAGGAATACCATAGAGTACCAAAACCTATTGAATGCAGAACTTACTCTACGTCTGCTCACTCAATTTACAGTCCCAGAATTATCCACAAGATGTGTGAGGAAGCCCAGCTTCCACCTGAAATTCTGCAGAGGCTTTAGACAGGGAAAGGCAGCTGGTCCAAAGGTCTGCTCTGGGCACAAGGAGTTCTGTCCACACCTGAGCTCCTACAACGTTGCTAAAGTGGGAAACGTTGCTAAAGGAAAGCTCCCGAGCCAGACGCAGAGGAGTTTGAGCAACAGTAATGGCAAAATCCCACGTCACTATTGCTCCATGGGAGCCGGGAGAGGCCAGGACGTGCTTTCCATTCCTTGCAGGTGAGTGCCAGCGCTGGGCACAGGTACCAGAGCTATAAACGCTATGGGGAAGTTTACAGCCGTCCAACTGCAAAGTGCTACATCAGCGCCACACGTCATTGCCCAGAGCTCCCAGAAATGAAAACAAGGCCGCCTGGACCCTTTGGAAAAGGACTGCAACAGCTTCGGTTTTGTCACTTTCACACAGACACATCTCGGGGGGTGCAGGCCAAGGGCCACCCCCCACCCCCGGCCTTGCGGAGGGACTGACCTTCCTCAATGACACGCATTGATAGGGTTCAGCACTCAGCAAAAGCAGCCACTCCGTGTATTTCACCGGCATTTAACAGCCACAACACCACACTTCCTAACCCCTCCTTTCCTGCCTGACAGCAGGCCCAGACGCCGCGGAGAGGGGCGGGTTTCGCGCAGGCCGCCGCAGGCCGGGAATCCCTGACCCAGCCCGGCAGCGCCGGGCCCGGCGGCACGTCCGGCACGTCCCCCCCGCCGGGCCGCGGCAGCGCGGCCGAGCCCGGCCCGGAGCGGGGCAGCCCCGGGGGCGCGGGCGAGGCGGCGGCGATGGCGCGGGGGGACCAGGGGGGACCCGCGCCCCGCGCCCCCCGCCCCGCCGGCTTCGCCGCGGCGCCGCCGCAGCCAATCAGGGGCCGCCTCACATCGCCGCGCACCGCTCCCCGCGTTGTAAGGCGCAGCGCCATTGGCCACGCCGGGCCCCGGTGCGTGCCCTCGGATAACCCCCGGCCCCACAATAGCGCGGCGCGGCCGCTCCGCCGGTGCCACCGGGCGGCCCACGGGGGTTTCACCGGCAGCCCCCGGCCCCGCCGCGCCTCCGCTCCCTGCCCGCCCCTCCGCTCCGCACCCCGCGGCCCGCCGCGGCCTCGGCGGGGAGCAGCCTGCAGCCTTAGTGGGGGGGGACACACACACACACGGGGCGAGGGGGGGGACGCGGCGCCCGGTGCGGCGGCGACGGCGGCGCGGGGGGCGGAGGGAAGTTGTCGGAAAAGTCAAGAGTGAAACTTGTCTCACCAGGTCCTCGAAGCTCCGGCGGTGCTCCTTGCCCTGCCAGTCCAGGCGCCGCGGAATGAGCTGCGGGAGGGACACGGGGACGGGGGCGGCCGTCAGAGCCCGAGCGACCCCTCCCCGGGGAGCCCCCCCCGGTGCCCGCCTGCGCCCCCCGGGATGGAGCCCCCCGGCCGCTGCCCCCGGCCCCGCCGCGGGGCAGCCGCGCTCCCGCCGGGTGTCCCGGGCGGAGATGGGCTGGGTTAGACGGGGCAGGGCAAACGCCGACCCCGCCGTCCCGAGGGCTTCCCCCGTCCCGCCGGGACAGGCGCCTCACCTGGTGCTCCTCCAGCTCCTCCACCAGTACCTGGGGACAGAGGGACACACAGACACACACACACAAAGGACGTGAGTCCGGCGACCGCAGCGCAGCTGCTCCGCCGCCCCGTCCCGTCCAGTCCCGTCCCGTCGCCGCCCGCCCGGCCCGGCCGGAGCGCCGGCTCCGCGCTCACCTGGGCAGATTTCTTGCAGGGTCCGGACTGCAGGAACCGTGCGATCAGGTAGTAGAGCTCTGCGGAGGGGCGGGGGAGAGCGGGTTAGACACGGTTAGAACGGAGGGGGTGCGGAGCGCAGCCCCCGCCGCCAGCGATACCCACCGGCTTCCAGCTGGGTCGGGGCGGCCGCCGCCGCCATCCTCCTCGGGAGGGGGAGGGGAGGTGGCGGATGGCGCCCCGGGGGGACTCGGCTCCTAGTGCGGGCGCAGCCCCATGCCGGAGCGGCGGTGCCGGTGCGGGGCGCGGGTCCCGGTGCGGGTGCGGGCGCGGGTCCCGCCCGGGCTCATCGCGGCTCCGCGGACCGAGCGCCGCCGGCACCGCCCGCACCGCCGCCGCCCGCCGCCGGGGGGCGCGCGCGGCAGCGCCGGGCGGGCGGGGGGGGCAGGAAGGGCGGGGCGGTGACGCGCCGCGGGGGGGCGCCCGCCACTTCCGGGCGGCGGCTGAGGGAGGAGGAGGAAGAGGAAGGGCCGGGCCGGGCCGGGAGAGCCGGGATGTGCCCGAGGCGTTTGGCCGCCGTCACGGGGCTGCGCTGAGCCGGGCCGTGCTTTAGAAGCCCCGGGAGCCGTCACGGGGGAGCCCTAACGGCTTCTGTCCTCGCGGGTTCCGCCCTCAGCGCTCCCGGTTGTCCCTGCCCCGGCCCTCATGACTCCAGCTCTTCCCGGCCCTCACGGCCGCAGTGTTCTCGTCCTCTGGTCGTGGCCTCCTCCCTGGCAGCGCCTGGGAAATGGAGTCCCATGTGTGCCTCAAACGAAGCAGTTTTTAAGAGAATGAAGGGATTCAGGAATCTTAGGGATCCTGTCAAGGGTAGGGGGATGGAGCCGGCCACGGAGGGGACACAGGATTGCTCAGTGGGGAGGTGACGGCCCTTCCGGGCTCCCGGTAAACAAGGCCTGGCTGCAGGGAAGTGTCTCAGGTTGGGGTGGCTTTAAGAGTTAAAGTGTTTGCTCGCAGTGACCAGGAAATTCCAATATGATGGATACAGCACCTTTGTTCTCAAGGAACAAAGGGGTCAGGGTCAGAGTAGATAGTTTTAATGGAAGTAAATATTTTTCCATGGGATGCATCCTGTCAGAGCTCCTGAAATTGATGTCACTTCAGCAATGAGTTGCTAAAACACATCAAGTGAATTGTATTTTATCTCAAGTCCCTGACATTTGGTGTTAGAAATCCAGTGTAAAAACCACTGTCATCATGGCATAACAAAGGACAGCCTCTCTTCCTGCCTGGAATACTGAGAGCTGAATCACTGTGAGTCGATGCTCTGGTAATATTAAGAATAAATTCAGATTGAGCACATATTTATAGCAGCTGCTCGGGACTGGGTTTGCTGTGGAGCGCTGGCTCAGGGTTTTGTTGCTGTGCAGTCAGGATGCAGTCCCTCCTGCTGGCAGCTCCACAGGATGCCTCCAGGCACCCAGGGAGAAGGATCTGGGGATTTGGCATTAAGCTGCTCCACATAATTCACCTGTACTCACCTGCCCCTTCATCCACCTGTGGAAGTTGTTTTGTGCCAGGATCTTGGATTAACTGAGCGATTTGTGGACCCTGTTTCCTCTTCATCGTCCTCTAAAGTTCTTGAGTTCTCAGTGACTGTTGAGATGATCACAGAATGGTTTGGTGGAAGGGGCCTTAAAGTTCATCCCATCCCACCCCTGCATGGACAGGGACACTCCAAGCCCTGTCCAGCCTGGCCTTGGACACTTCCAGGGATGGGGCAGCCACAGCTTCTCTGGGCACCCTCTGCCAGGGCCTCAGCCCCTTCACAATAAAAATTTCTTCCCAGTACCCCACCTAACCTTGCCCTCTGGCAGTGGGAAGCCCTTCCCCCTTGTCCCAAGTCCCTTTCCATTTTTCTTGTAGGCTCCAAACAATTACTCTTGAAATGTTTTCAGGGCAGGTTCATTGCTCAGCTCATCAGTGGACAGACACGAGGTGCCACCTCACCAAGCTGCAAATTCCAGTGGCTTCCCAATAGTAACAGCTCTCCCAGCAGGAGCCCAGAGGCTCCAGAGCTGCAGAGCTTCCTGGGAGATACAGGATGAAACTGCTGTTCTCAGAATGAATTCCCAGCCATGAGAAGCACACACTGATCCCACTCTCCAGAGAGGTAATGTTTCTCCCACCTGTCTTCAGAGCCCAGAGCTGCAAGCTCATCTTTTCATGCATGATGGAAGGCAAAGGAGAAAACACAGATGATGTTTTATAATATACCCTGAAAGTACAAATGCATCTTCCTGAGCTGAACAGAATTCCATGTCAGAGGGAAAAACAGCTCCATAAATACTGGCCAGCACCAAGTCCTGGTGCATTTTGGTGCCAACAGCTCCACATCCATGCTTAGGTGAGACCCCACCTGCAGCCCTGGGATCCCCAGCACTGGAAGGACATGGAATTGTTGGAGCAAATCATTGGAGGCACCAAGGCGGTCAGAGGGAGAGTGCAGCTCTGCTGTGAGGAAAGGCTGGGACAATTTGGGTGATTCAGCCTGGAGAACAGAAGCTCCAGGGTGACCTAACTGTGGCCTTCCACTGCCTGGAAGGGAAGGTGGAGAGAGAGTACATCAGCCTGGAGTGCCAGGAAAGAGGGAATGGCTTCCCACTACCAGAGGGCAGGGTTAGGTGGGATACTGGGAGGGAATTCTGCCCTGTGAGGGTGGAGAGGCCCTGGCACAGGGTGCCCAGAGAAGCTGTGACTGCCCCAGGGTCTCTGGCAGTGTCCAAGGCTGGGTTGTATGGGACTTGGAGCAGCCTGGGATAGTGGAAACTGTCCCTGCCAACATTCCTGACTCCCTGGCCCGTCAGTTTCCTTTCCTTAACGCTCTCCCAGTTGCTTCATCTCTCCCCAAGCCTGCTACAAGGGCTGTTCTCCATACCTCTTCCCACCTCTCCCGGGTTTTCCCCTCCAGGAGTCATGTGTGGTGAGTAACGCCCATCCTCTCTTTCCCCAGGAGCTCCATTTCCACACCACACGTGGATTCTGCAGCTCCATGACTCATCTTTTTCCAGATCCTCTGCATCCAAGCAGCAGCATGCTGGGGGTGATAGTAAATCTCGGAGTGAAAGCAGGATTTTATGGATGTGCTGATTCATCTTTCCTCAGAGCAGAGCTCTGTTATGTAAATGCCAGCAGCAGCTGGTGGCAGGAGGAGGGAGAACAGACTAATGAGCCACGGAAGGATTCACGAGCAGAGATGCTTTAAGGAAGAAGCTGGATTGTAGCTGTTTCTTTCCAAACTGCTCTTTAAAGAAAAAAAAAACGAAATTTTTGGAGGGATTTTAGGACTAGGAACTGATGACATTCAAATACCCATCACTTCTCCCCGTTTGGTGTTGGAGGGAGTTTTACTCTCAGCTGTAGTTAAAAGTAAAACTCAACCCCCTGTTTAATTTGACTACAAAATTAAATGAACTTTCCCACAATTAGCTTGTAAAGCCAGGTAAAGGTGTCTCTGTCATTTTTTATTTATGATTATTCTGCCCTCATGAGTCAAATCCTGCTTTAGCCATGTGTGAAAACAGACTTGTTTAGTATAACCGGAAATGTACAGTTAAAATCAAAAAAAGAAAGTTTAGAGTGGAATTGGGCGGGTGTGGTGGGTTCACCTGCAGTTGGACCTTTTCAGTAAATGTAGGTAAGGATTCACATCCCTGAATTCAGCTGGATTTAAACACTGGAACAAATTATGCATTTTTTGGCTTTTTTTAAAGAATATTTTCTGTGTACATTTCATAAAATACCCCCGAGTTGGAAGCAACCCACAAGGATTTCTATGAACATTCTGCTCATCTTAGGTCTTTCATATGGAGCTAAATGACAAATAAGGATGGTAGTTAAATTAAATCCAAGTTTTTGTTTAGCTGATTCAAAAATAAGAGTTGTTCAGAAGGAATTCAGGAGTTGGTGCCTTGTGCTACACAGCTGTGAGTAAAGGAATATTGAAAAGTCCAAGCTTATTTTAAGATCTTTACATAGAAAAACCTCAACTTTTGATATCATAGTTTATTTTAAAAAATAAATGAGATGCAAAATACTTAGCACTAATTACAGTTGCTGGAGTGCAGGGCTTGTGTGTGCAAACCAACATCCTGTTTTTGCAGGAAAAATCTCCAAGTTCCCACTCCTTCCTGTGGTTCTCTTCCTCGACAAGAGCTGTTAAATAATATCTAAATAGCTGTTGGATATTACACAAGATCTGCTCTAGGATTTTTGCTATTTTTAATAATTTATTATTTAATTTCTCTGCTGCATCATTCCAATCATTCCTCTAGATGGTGCCAGACACCCAAGAGTTGGGAGCGACATTATCCCATAGGAAGGCGATGGAGGACGAGCCAGGACGCCGCTCGCCTTTGTTTCTAAATTCTATCTTGCAGCAGTTCATCTTGTTGATAAATTACTTGTTCTGGTGATGTAAATATGATGGTTTTTTTCCTTTTCAGAATCCTAAATTCCATTCAGCCTAAATTCCAGCTGCCTGGAGCAGTGTCATCCCTTGCTCCGTGGACTGATCCATATCTCACATTCCTTATGGCAGCCATTAGCTGCTGTGAGCTGTGATCAGTGTGTGCAGCCCTGCTGCGACTGGGGGAACTGAATCTGCCTGGTTTGCAAAGCAGTGAAATTTCTATTATCTAAACGTTTCTCCTTATCTCTATTTCACACAGAAATGCCAAATCCAGCTGTGGATGGAACACCCCGGAAAAGGGGTGGCTCTGTGTCCCTGCGTGCTCTGAGCTCTGCCAGCAGAAGGACTGGGGGAATGATATCAGTGTCAGGTCCATCCTCAGCATCTCTGAATTCCAACTTTGTACCTCAGAGTGCCTGAAATCTCCAAGTTTTATAGCAGCAAATTTACTACTGGGTGTAGGTGACCAATCAGGTAGGTTTTGTTATTGCTGGTGTCACTACTGCACCCTGCACAATCCCTGTCTAAGGGCCTGATTCTGACATGTGTCCCCTGGTTGGGATCAAGCCCCTGTTCCCAGCCTTTTCCAGCTTCTCCTGATGTACCCTGACTGTTACCAGTCCAGGGGTCCCCTGCACAAGGATCTCACCCCAAAGACACCACTGATATCACACTGATATCACTAATTCAGCAACTTTAAGTCATGCTAAATATTTGTAAATAATCCTTTGATGGTTTGTTTGTAATTTTTTTAGGGTTTTAGGGCCAAATCCTGCATTTTTGGCTTCTCCCAGAAGCCTGGGCACAAAGCATCTGACTGCAGCTGGGAATTCATCACCTCTCTCCCTGGACATGCAAATTTTACTGGAGCTCCCTCAGCTAAGTAAACAATGTTATTAAAATTACATCTCTCTGTATCCCATTCCCTTTTCCATAAAGTTTTGAGGATTTTTATATTTTAATTATATTTTTCATTCTACAAAAAATATTAGAAATTTTGGGAAGGAGTGCAATAGGGTTTTTTACAGCACTGCCTTTATTGAAATAAAAGGTTATCAAATTAGGTTAATTTTGAAAAAATAAAAAAATAAAGAAAAGGTTAATTTTGATTAATTTTTTTATTTATTGATATCCCTAACAGGCTGACATTGTAAATAAGCTCATTAATACTCTTTAAATACAGTCTTATAAAATTAATTCTCAATTACTGGATGAGGTGATGGATTAGAAAACTGTCCTGTGTAAGTTTGCTCACAGGAGTGTGAATTTAGAATAAACTTTCTAAGTCACTAATCATGGAATCCAAGGATGGGATTTTGGAACATTTCTCAAAGTGCTGTCCCATACAGGAATTCTCTTCCCATTACCTTTATTTATTGATTATAAAGCCTCTTCCTCTAAAGATCTTCAATTTGGGATGATGTCTCCCTCTTATCCCTCATAAGGAAAAGCTTTAACATGGAAGCTTCCATAAATTCCTCTGCAGTAAAGTGACCCCATTTCATTTCATTCTTGCACTTCCATCATTTAATGGACATTCACATTCTCCTGTAGCTGTCCAGCTTTGTATCTCTGGGAAAAGTCTTTCCCCTGATGTCCTCAGGAGTTCAGATCTCAGAATCCCTTTTTATTTTGGGCCTTAAATTATTAGGGCTTGAGACATAACCTGCTACAATATGTTTTGTGTGTCATCTTGATTTGGAGAGGCCTCACGTTCTTGGAAGGTCCTTTTAGTGGTTTTTTTTTTTTTAATCAAAGGACTAATTTAATTTAATTTAATTTCCAGTGAGGTGGTTTTCAATACCTGCAAGTTCTTGCCCTGTTGACTGTTCCCTTTCATTTCTCTTACACCAATAAAAGTCTATTAAGAGTTTATGAAGTCTCCAAGTTCTGTGTGGTTGAGTTTCTGCTGGAAAACCATCATAGGTGGAAGGTGAAGCTATGAAGGCACATGGACAGAACTGTGCCATCATCCTTATTTCCCTGAGATTTTCTTTGTTATCCCTGGATTATAATGGCATAAGTGTGGAATATGCTGTAGAGGTGGAAAAAAGCTTCTCCTGTTCGTTCTCCACTTTGTCCTTGTAGTCTAAAGGATCTGCCATTTCCTGTTGAGGATCCTCCTCTCTCCATGTGTTTCCTGATGTCTCTGGACACCATTCTCCCTCCTCCTGTGCAGCCAGCACATCTCAGTCTCTTCATTTTTTCTTCTCTTTGCTCCTTCCTCCTGCTTGCTGCCTGCTGCTGTTACCTTGTTACAGGTAACACCTTTCAGACCTTGACTTTCTTCCAAACCCATCTTCCCATCTTGACTTTGCTGCTGCCTGTGGACTCTTCCAGCCCCCTGTGCCTTTGTATTTGGGGGTTTTGTCCTTGCTGACTCCAGGATGCCTCTGGAATGGCTGAGGGACATTCCCATGGGAGACACAATGCATCCTGAAATGGGACATGGAAAAATCCCATTGAGAGTGATGCTGTCCTCTTGGTGCAGGTTTCAAGCAGATATTGGAGAAATGCTGGCAGCTGAGACCCGAGGGAGGGATTTAGGGAGACCAGGGGCTCATGAGATGCATCAAGACTCTTGATAGCCTTGTTTTTCTTTCTTGAACATGTGGAAAACAAACCAGGCTGCAGCACTCCCTCCCTGTCAGAAGAAAGCAGCAGGACAAAATCTGTTGTTGGAATTTCCCTCCAGCAGCACTTCCATCCCTCCCAGCCAAGGGCAGTTGGGGTGAGCCATGGCCACGCTTGGGGGGACTCATCCCAGGGGATGTGGGTGTCCCAGAGCTGCTTTGTTCCCTGCAGCCCCACCCACCCCCTCAGCTAAAAATGACATTTTTCACCAACTGCTAAAGTCTCCTGCTCCTGCTTTAATGTTAATTTTGGGAGTTTTCAACTGGACTCTGAGCTACCTCATTCAGGAATCCACGTGGCAGCCCCGAGGTCCAGCCCCATCTGGGTGACAGAGTTTGTTTCCTTTGGCAATACGGATTTAACAACCAGGCTTCCAGCCCTGGGAATCATTTCCCTCAAATAGCTGCAAAATAAATGATGGGACATTTTCCAGTGCAGTGCTGCAACCACCCAAAACACCACTGTAGAATTCAGAGAGGCCAGGCAAGAGTGAGTGCATTAAGCAAGGCTTAGGGGGATTATGGAATTAAATTGGGAGCCCCTTCCACCCTTCCCGCAGTCAAAGACATTCGGAAATAAATATTAGAAAAGGGTGTTAAAACAATGGCTTTGGCTAAAACCTCTGCAAGCAAAGAGCCTTGTTGTGGAGGCTGTTGCTGAGCTGTGGACTGGTGTGTCCAGGCTGTGTTCCAGAGGGTTTCCATCAGGGAGCCGGGGTGATCTCAGGAACACCCAACGGCCGTGGCTGGAGTGGCTCTGCTGCCCAAATTCCCTCTGCAGAGGAGAAGTGCCCCAGCCCCTCGCACAGCACAGGACTTTGCCTCCTCTCCTCTAGACCCTGCTGCTGCCTTTGGCATTCCTTATCCTCTGCCTGCAATTCCCAGCTCTGTCCTTTCTCAGCATCAGGAGCATCCTGCTCCTTTCAGGCAGAGTTTGTGCAATGACAGCTTTGCTTTAATCTGGGCTGGATTTAGCCAGATGCTGCAATCCTGGGAAGGCTTACACAGGGCTCAGGTCTGCCATGGGAATGTAGCCTTGATTTGATAATCTGGGAATGGTTTATTTAAAATTAAAAACCTAGAAAACCTTTGAAACAGCTTTTTTTTTTTTGAGCTCCTTTTGGCCTTGCAGTAGAACAGGCACCCTGGCTCTTGGTCACATACAGGGCCTGGCACCCATGAAATAGGTTTTAGGCTAATGATGCACACTCTGCCTGCTTTAATTAAATTCATTAGAGCCCAAAAAAGGCACTTTCCATTAAAAGTCTTTAGCATCATAATAACACAATGAATTTAAATATTTAATATAGAAATACATAAAATTAAATATTAATTTCCAATACACTTACAGAGTCCATTTGACCAAATAACCCCACAAATATTCCCTTACCAGAGAATCCCATTTCTTTACATCTCTATTACCATAATTACAGACCTTTGTATTTAAAATCTTTATTTTAGTGCAGTCCTCTTTGTAATAAAATTAATCCATGAGACACCTGTGCAGCAAGAAATAGGATTTACAGAGATTTTAAGCTTTTGGGGGCAAACACGGTTTATTCTTGTCCATGTCAAGGCCTGGGGTAGATGAGCACAGTGACACCAGAGGTAGCTGAGTGTATTAATTAGTGCTAATTAATAAAGCTACCGGGTTCTTTGACCTTCTCACAGCTCACTGCACGGGCGGAGGAGGAAGGGTAAGGAATGGGCAGAGGAAAATCCTTTTGGTCAGAGTTTTTCTGTGCCTGCCTCTCCTCTCTGACTCCCCCAGGTCCTTGTTCCCCTGTGCCTTAACAGGGAGTGGTGGCAGCTCATCCTGCAGGCTGGAATTCCAGGGAATCCTGCAGCCCCCTGGGAAGCTGCTGCCCGGGAAGGGGCTGGGGATGCTGACTGCTTGTGACAAGTCTTGCCTGGGAGAAAACCAACACGGCAGCGGTTGGAAACCTGAATGATGTCACTATGGCAACAAAATAACTCACCTTAAAATAAAATGTGCATTGGAAGCAACCTCATGTGCTCAGGGAATACAGGGAGGAAGGTCCTATTTTTTATATGTATATATTTTTATGTTTATGTATTTTTTAATATTTTTCAGCTTCCTGAATTCTTGCTCTGTTACCAGATGCTGATGCAGATGTAAGAAATAGTTTAATTTCTCTTAGCAATGAAATGAAACAGAACATGACCAGACCTCCAGAACAAGGAAAAATGTGTTTGCTGGAGGGCAGAAAAAGCCTGGAGCTGCTGATAACTACAAGTCATTCTGATGTATGTGAGATCCAGACTATCAATATCTACAGCTCACAGCAGGGATTTGGGACTAATTATTGCTAATATTTTTCATGGACATAGTCCATCCCTTTCCAACAATCCCAAATTCCATTTCCATATGTCTGTTCCATATTCCTGTTCTTTTCAGACAGGTTTGTTTTCCCCTTGTTTTTGCATTAAATAACAGCAACAGGTGGAAATTCAGAGATTTCTCTGGAAATTCCAAACTCTCCCTGGCTCTTTTTATCCGATGAGCATCCCAGCCAGGTTGGAGCTGTGGTGATTCAGCCACAGTGCTGCTGGCGAGGTGTTCCCAAGTTTTTTCATAATCCTGGATGCTTTTTAGACTGGAGTGGGTGACTTTGACCACCTCTGTGTGAGGGAGGCTGGGATGGGCAGTGCAGTGGTGGAGTGAGGCCATGAGCTGTGCCGAGCTGCAGCAGCCCTGGCAGCAAAGAGGAGTTGTCCTGTCAGGTTTTTCTCCTGCTTGCCAAAGGCCAAGAGCATTTATGGGATGAAGCATAAGGCCATGGAAAGCCCAGCACCCCTGATCTGGTCCTGCAGCGACCCTTGACTAATCCAGGGTAAAAATAGAAACACAAATTGTCTGGTGTTTCACTGGGCAGCAGAAATCCGGCAACGCTTGAGTTTGAATCATCCAGATGATGCTATGCAAGAGGGGGCTGTTGCTCTGGAAATCCCACTGATCCCCAGAGACTGATCCCCAGGGAAATCCCACTGATCCCCAGGGGCTGGGCTCATGGTCCAGGTGGAGAGATGCTCCCAGTGCTCCAGCAGGAAGGGCAGGGCTGGAGCTGGAGCTGTTTTAAGCCGAGCAGAGGCAGCCTGCATTGGCAGTGTGCTTGCCCAGCGTGTGTGTGCTGGGGACAGAGCATCTGCCTGGGAATGGGCAGAGAAGTGCCAAAGGCTCCACAGCCACAGGCTTTCCCATGGTTTTTGCAAAGTTCAGCCCATTTGTAAAAACTGTGGAAAGCCCAGCACATCACAGAAGGAATCGTCAGCAACCACAGCTGCATGAGCAGCTCTGGACTTCCAGTTCTTGCAGTGCAAAAATAAAGACATTTCTAGAATAACTGTATTTTATATAATATAATACTTATATAATGTATAATTCTCTATTATAATTATATAATATCATAATTTTCCTCTCTATATCCCATTTTTTGAGAGCTTTGCACCCAGTTTAATGACAGTGAAAATAATTTACTTCCAACTGCTTGTTTTATAGGAAACCAGGAAAAGTGGATTAAAAGGAATGAGCTTATGGAGCATGAAATAATATCCAAAACAACTGTGAGGAGGGAAGAGGAGTTTCTGCTCTGACCCTAGGTGAGTTCAAGGGGGTACTTTGGATACTTGGGTGACAAATAATGCTAATAATTGTGAGTCACATTTTGACGTCATCAGCACAGCATCCAGACACTGCCTCTCTCCTTCCCATCGGTATTTCCTTGCAATCCCACATTCTCTGCAGCCTCTGCTCATGGGGAGAGCAGGGAATAGCTGCTGCGGCTCCCTGCTCCCGGCAGCGCGGGAGGGATGAGCCGAGATTGAAATCGTTTCCTACCACTGATGTCAGGACGACTCCAACACCGGCTCCGGCTCCATCCGCATCACTCCTGCACCCCATCTCTGCAAGGAAAAGTAATCACTTGTCTTACCTCCGGGTTTAATTAGTCCCTGCTCCGGGGCTAATTAGGAGCGCGGTCCGCGCGGAGGTCGGGGCCGGAGCCCTCTCTCCCTCTGCCGCTCCCGTTCCCGCTCCTGCCGCCACTCCCGCTCCCATTCCCGCTCCTGCTCCCGCTCTGTGCCATCTGCCATTGCCATGACACTGCCTTTGCTTTTCACGGCTGGCTGGGCGCGCTGGATGCGCGGGGTAATGGGGCTATTTTTCCCCCCTTGGTCTTTGGAAAGGAAATAATAATAAACCCAGGAATGGCTGGAACTGCTGCACACTGCCCTTTTCCTTCCCACTTTTGAAGCTTTTTAGCATTCAGTTTTCCAGCAATTGGGAGGAAAATTGCCCTGAAAGAAAGAAAGAAACAAAAATCTGTGTTATTTTTTAAACACCCCCCCCCCCCCCACCCCCCGCGCCACACAGGCAGCTGCAGAGAATTTCTCTTCCAAAGGGATGATGTAATGGGCTTTGTCAGCCAATGCTGGAATGAATAAAACCCGAGACCCGAAATCCATCCAGGCTTTTGATGAAACTCCTGAGGTTCCTGGAGCAAGTGGTCGCCAAAATAGGCTGGAACTGCTGGTTTTGTCATGCAGCTCTTGAGAGAAGCGAGATGGAGAGTCAAGGGCTCCAGCCAGGGAATAACCAAAACCACCAGGTTTTGTCCCTGCTGAGGAAAAGGGGACCTTGTGGGGCATCTGGGGATACTCAGTGAAGGGGTGATGTCCTGGTGCCAGGACATCAATTCAAGCTTCAACACAGAATCACTTCTGATCTGAACATGGCACCTACAACCACATTTTATAGAGAGATATATGTGTGTATTTAATATTATGTATATTATATATAATTCAATAGTATTGCCCAGAGCAGCTGTGGATGCCCCATCCCTGGAAGTGCCCAAGGCCAGGTTGGATGGGGCTTGGAGCAGCCTGGCATAGTGGAAGGTGTCCCTGTCCATGGCAGGGGGTGGGACTTGATGGGTTTATGGTCCCTTCCTACCCAAAGCAGTTGGGGATTCTGTGATATGTATAAAACATAAATATATAAACTATACACAAGTATCACCAATTCCTGCTGGATCAATGGGCACATTGTTGTTCTCCCAGGGATGTCCTGGGCTGCTGAGGCCAGGAGATCTCTCCTCTCTCTCTGTGACTGATCCCAAGTCTCTGTCTGGCTTTCTTTGGGGCCCTTTTAGGCACTGGAAGAGGCTCTGGGGTCTCCCAGAGCTTTTTCCAGCGCACCCCCAGCTCTCCCAGCCTGTCCTCATAGGATACACTGCACTGATCCTGTCACCCCAAATTCCTGCAGTGAAGAGGCTGCAGGGCAGGCAGGAAGAGCTCCCGGCATTCCAGAAGGTTCCAGCTCTTGCAGAAACATCACACTTCCAGGTGATGGAGGAGAATCATGGATACATTTTGCCTTGGCTGCTCTCTGGTCCCTGCTTGTGCATCCTTGCTGGGCATCCCTGCAGCAGGAGCTGGGACAGAGCTGCTGCCACCATCCCCAGCCCTGTGGAGCCACCAGCATGATGCCACATCCTCTGACACCCTGAGAGCTGTGGTACCTGCTCCTGGTCCCTGTGCCATCACCCCAGCAGCTGGATAACCCCAAATTCCCAGGGATGACCTCTCTGTGTGTGCAGAGCAGCCGTGCAGGAACCCCCAGCCAGTACCACCACCTAGAGGCTACAGCACCAAGTGAAGCCAAGAAGATTTATAGCCAAGATGGGCCACAAAGGGGATTGGAAATAATTCCCAAGCCCAAATGGAGCAGCACTGGAAGCGGGGAATCTGGACCCCTTCTCCAGCCCAGTGGTGGCCATCACCCCACCTTCAGCACCAGCAGCACCCAACAAACCTGGGCCCTAGGGTGGCATTTGGGGAGGGAGTTTTGCCAAGAACAGGAGGATGTGGTGCCCTTTTCCTCCTGGGAAAAATCCAGCTCCAATGGAGAATATTTCCAGGAGCACAGGGGGATGTGCACAGCCCAGGTCAGTGGCACAGGGCTTGGCAGGGACACAGGTGGTACCTTGGGTACATCCACGCCGTGTGTCTGTCCCACCAACAGGCACACACAGTGAACAACAGGGAAGGTTTCCTCCTTTCGAAGTGCCCAGAATGTGGCTGGAGGGGCTCAGACCACAGGGGAAGTACAAACCTGTGTCCCCTCACCCCCCAGCTCCCTCCAGAGGTCCAGGGCTGGGGACAACTCCAGGTCCTCTCCCACACCCATGGGTTGCTGGTCCTGCACTGGTGACATGTCTTTGTGTCCCACAGCCCTGCTGGATTGTCTTCCAAGAATTTGTGTAATCACTTCCTAAGCCATTATGATTCCTGGGCTCCATTTGGGCAATGAGTTACATGGTTTAATTACTCATTGTGTGAAATATGCTCGTTTTGCATCTGCCACTCTGTAATTTCATTTGGGGCCTCTTTGTTTGCTTTGTGTCCCCACACAAGAGCCACCGACCCCTATTCACTGTCCCTGTGCCGCTGCACCAGGGAATACAAATCCCGCATCCTTTTCCCCCCTGTCTGTCAATTCTTTGCAAGACAAAAAGGGTAATTTATTTAATTGTTGCTGATATAATGTCCTAAAAGTCTCCTTTCCCCTCCAACAGTTAATTACACTTGTTAATTATTTTAATTATTCCCAGGGTAATGCTGTAGGTATAGAATAGCATAGGAGTAAACACGGAGTGGGGAAGTCAGAGTTTACTTCAAGATCTCTGTTGATAACCAGGCTGTAACCACATGGGTGGTGAAACCACAGCAGGGAATGTTTGGCCTGGATTTGGAACTTTCTGTTGGAAGGATTTATAGGAAGAGAAGGCAGATCCTGCAGGATTGCCCTCAGATGAGGCCCAGAGAGGCAACTCCAGCCTTTCTCTCCTGGCAGAGCCGGCACAAAATGGAACCGTGACTTGGGGAAGTACTTCTGGTCAGCACCTCCGTGATAGTGGATTTATATGAATGAAGAAACCAAACCAAGCAAAATTCCAGCCTGCTGGAAAGCTGAGTCTCAGCCTGAGGCTTAGGAGCAGCCCACCTCCAACTCCAGCCGTGTTCCGAGGGGAGCGGCGGCCCCGGATCCATGAAACAGCAAAACTCGTTTGTGGTCCCACAGAGCAGCCTCTGCCAGCGCCCCTGGAGCCAGGGTGAAACCCGAGAGCTGCCGCAATCCAAACCTTCTCCACGGCTCCTTTTATCTTCCTGGGGGGAAAACAAACAGCGCAGAAGCTGGAGCTTTGTGGCTGGGTTTTGCACATCTGGTTTGAGCTCCAAGAAATGCACTTCCACCCCCTCCCCGAATTGTTCATGTTAAACAAACAAAACCCCAGCGATTTTGTGAGATTTTGGCTCTGGGATAACTTTGGAGCAACTTTTACTGAGAATCCCAGGCTTGTGCTGCACTTCATCCCCAGTGGAAGCAGCACACCTCACTCACTGGGAGGGAGGCACTTCCAAAGGGGAACAGCCGTGCCCTGGAACCCCCTTACTGGGAATGCTGCTGGGAGTGGGAGGGGAGAGTGCTCTTGACCACTCTGTTTAGGTTTCAATCCAGCATTTTTCCCTGTGTAATTTATGCTTCCTCTCCCCCTTTTAAGAACGTCTGGAATTGTTTAAGATGTGTCCAATTGTATTAAGTTGCCTTTGAGAGTTTTATGGTGTCAATTGGATTCCTGCTCTTAGGAACAGAGCTTTCCAATTTGCTGGTTTTCCCTTTTCTATCACATCAGCACCAACTTCCTTTCAGTGCTTTCAGGTGTTACCTCAGCCTGAAGTTCACACTAACCCCTGGACATCACTTCCATTTGACACTGTTCCAGTGATTCCCTGGTTGGTGCTGCAGGAGGAAGGGAGTGCCATTCCTCTGGGGTCCTGTCCCACCAGCCCCTCTTCCAGCAGAGGTGGATAAATCAGGGCAGATCATGGAATCATGGAATCACAGAGTGGTTTGGGTGAGAAGGGACCTTAGAGCCCATCTCATTCCCTGCCATGGGCAGGGGCACCTTGCACGAGACCAGAGTGCTCCAAGCCCCGTCCAGCCTGGCCTTGGACACTTCCAGGGACGGGGCAGCCACAGCTTCTCTGAAAACAGATGAAAGGTGTGGGTGAAGGGGTTAGGAGCAGTTCTGATCCTCTCCCCATCCCCTCCTTGACTCACCCTAGCCCAATCCCAATCACACCCCTTCCAAAGCAGGGGACAATGGCCATACGAGTCACCAGTGACATCTGTTCCCTCGTCCATGCTCACTTGTGACCACCTCCAGCTCCTCCGGGCACTGGGACAGTCTGGAAGCCACGTTGACATTGTTCTCTCAAAGGACAGAGCTCCTCGAAAGCCGCCCAGCGCCGGCCCGGGGTGTTCCCAGCTCCTGGAGCCCATCCAGGGCATCGAGTTTCAGAGCGGGGGCTCCCGGCAGCTGCACGGGAAAGGAGCAGCACCACTGAGACAGTCAGAGGGAGGAGCCATCGTTGCCATTGCCGAGATTCAATTTTCTTCCTCCTTCATCAGATTAACACCAGTGTTACTCCATTAACTGCCAGGGAGCTGCGCTTGATCTGAAAATCAGACCTAAATGTCACAGAATCCCAGACTGGTTTGGGTTGGAAGAGACCTCAAATATCCTCTGGTTCTGTCCCCTGCCATGGGCAGGGACACCTCCCACTCTCCCAGATTGATCCTAGCCCCATTCAGCCTGGCCTTGGACACTTCCAGGGATCCAGGAGCAGCCACAGCTTCTCTGGGCCCCCTGTGCCAGGGCCTCCCCACCCTCATGGGGAAGCATTTCTTCCCAATATCCAAACTAAATCTACCCTCCTTCATCTTAAAGCCCTTTCCCTTTGTCCTGTCCCTCCATCCCTTGTTCAAAGGCCCTTTCCAGCTCTCCTAGAGCCTCTTCAGGCACTGGAAGGGGGCTCTAAGCTCTCCCCAGAGTTTTTGTTCCCCAGGTGAACAGGTGAACACCCTCAGCTCTCCCAGCCTGGCTCCAGAGCAGAGGGGTTTTCGTTTGGTTTTTTTTTTTTTTTTTTTTTTTGTGTGTGTACAGTCACTTCACTCAAAGGAGCACAGGTAAATGTGGGATGAACCTGCAAAACCTTCCTTTTATGTGCTTGGAGGGGTTGTTTTATTTTATTTTTCCCATTTCCCCCTTTTTTTTGACATCCCAAGGACCTCACTGTGTTTGCCATTCTCTTGCTTGCTGAGGCAGCAGTGCCTTTTCCCTCTGTGCTGCTCCAGCACGTTGCTGATGGTGGAGACCAGGATGAAGTC